TTAAATTATTATTTTTTCTTTTAATAAATTAATTTTAGCACCTGCCTTTTTAAAGTTGAATTTATGTAAATAAAATATATATTGTTTATGGTAATCAGAAGCCCATCTGAGCTTCTGCGGTAACAAAGACCCTCGTCCAGACTCCTCGATAAAATAAAATGCCCATCAATAAAAGCTGCTTGCATTTCTGATAGATGTATCGATTCAAAACAATTTTTGACAGTTATTTTGAAAGTTCTGAAAGTTCTGAAAGTTAAGAAAGATTAAAGGAAACCAAACAATCGCAAAACATCACCACTGGAAAAGAAGCCAGAGGGGATTCCACGTCGGTCATCCATCCAAAACTAACCGCGTTCGACAGGGCTTTACTTTGTGGAACGGACACGTCTCAACATACAGCAGTCGCTTTTATTGAGCTACTGATAAACAACAACTCGAATTGCTATTATACAACGTGATTATACCGTCACTGAAACTAAAAGTAATAAAGTTTAGAACTCATCGAAAAGCGTACTAAATTACATCTATACCGAACCGTTTCGTGTCGCTTTAAGATGTAATCAAGTAGGTAGGACCGAGGCCACTACATTCAAACGACATGAAACGATTCAGTTAACAAGTACGGCTTTTCACACAGTCGCTTTTGCTCGGAGCAGGTTTGTCGGGATTTCGCTTATTTGAAGCCTTATCTCAAAGTACACGTTCCCCATCGTCACCGGGCGAAACAGTACACATCATATAACAAAGGAGTTTGCTGTGAGGGCGTTGGGAAGACAAACACCAGCGTCGACTATACTGCTGGCACTCAAAAGGAGACATTCTTGAGGGAGGAGTTTGCTGTAAGGGCTTGAGAAAGAGAAGAAGCACCGGCGTCGCCAATAAGGTTATAACCACTTTGAAATCACTGGCTATCCGTGCAATCTGATTGGCTCTCAGCAGTGTGATTTATTCCTAAATCGCACCATTTTTTGCTCTAAATCGCATCTGTTCCAAATCGCGTCATTCTTGTTCTAAATCGGATCATTTCTGTTTTAAATCGCACCATTTTTGTTCTATATCGCATCATTTCTGTTTCGAATACAAAATGAGATGTAAAAGCTTTTTTGTTTCGGCTTTTTAACAAACTGGCTACTCGATCAATAAACTATAGTACTGACTAATTTCTGCGATTTCAAAATGGATGTAATAAAGTGGTAATTGAACTTCGTGTCGTGCAATTTTGGTCTTAAATCATACTTGTGATTTCAAATCGAACTCACGCTGCGCGCTCGTTCGATTTTGAAATCACGCGTATGATTTCAGACCAAATTGCACTCCACTCAGTTCAATTACCATTGTAAATCCAAACTATTCAGGGAGGAGTTTGCTGTGAGGGCCAGAGAAAGAGAAGAAGCACAGGCGTCGCCGATACTGTTATAACTTAAATCCAAACTATTCAGGGAGGAGTTTGCTGTCAGGGCCTGAGAAAGAGAGAAGCACCTGCGTCGCCAATACTGTTACCACTTAAATCCAAACTAGTCAGAGAGGAGTTTGCCGTGAGGGCTTGAGAAAGAGACGAAGCACCGGCCTCGCCAATACTGTTACCAGCTAAATTCAAACTACTCAAGGAGGAGTTTGCTGTGAGGGCTTGAGAAAGAGAAGAAGCACCGGCGTCGCCAATACTGTTATTACTTAAATCCAAACTAGTCAGGGAGGAGTTTGCTGTGAGGGCAAGAGAAAGAGAAGAAGCACCGGCGTCGCCAATACTGTTATTACTTAAATCCAAACTATTCAGGGAGGAGTTTGCTGTCAGGGCCTGAGAAAGAGAAGAAGCACCGGCGTCGCCAATACTGTTAACAGTTAAAACCAAACTAGTCAGAGAGGAGTTTGCTGTGAGGGCTTGAGAAAGAGAAAAAGCACCGGCCTCGCCAAAACTGTTACAAGCTAAATTCAAACTACTCAAGGAGGAGTTTGCTGTGAGGGCTTGAGAAAGAGAAAAAGCACCGGCCTCGCCAATACTGTTACCAGCTAAACTCAAACTACTCAAGGAGGAGTTTGCTGTGAGGGCTTGAGAAAGAGAAGAAGCACCGGCGTCGCCGATACTGTTAATCCTTAAATCCAAACTAGTCAGGGAGGAGTTTGCCGTGAGGGCTTGAGAAAGAGAAGAAGCACCGGTGTCGCCAATACTGTTACTCCTTAAACCCAAACTATTCAGGGAGGAGTTTGCTGTGAGGGCCAGAGAAAGAGAAGACGCACCGGCCTCGCCAATACTGTTAACAGTTAAATCCAAACTAGTCAGAGAGGAGTTTGCCGTGAGGGCTTGAGAAAGAGAAGAAGCACCGGCCTCGCCAATACTGTTACCAGCTAAATTCAAACTACTCAAGGAGGAGTTTGCTGTGAGGGCTTGAGAAAGAGAAGAAGCACCGGCGTCGCCAATACTGTTATTACTTAAATCCAAACTAGTCAGGGAGGAGTTTGCTGTGAGGGCCAGAGAAAGAGAAGAAGCACCGGCCTCGCCAATACTGTTAACAGTTAAATCCAAACTAGTCAGCGAGGAGTTTGCTGTGAGGGCTTGAGAAAGAGACGAAGCACCGGCCCCGCCAATACTGTTACCAGCTAAATTCAAACTACTCAAGGAGGAGTTT